AGGGTCTCACTGCTCTGATTTATTTTTCGCTATGGATTATTTATGTCTATAGATGGGATCATGTGTATGCTTTGATGTCTGGCTTCTTTTCAGCATGATGCATATGAAATTTATGCATGTTGTGTATCCTGTATCAGTCCTTTCCTTTTCATTACGAAGGACTTTCATTGTGTACTGATGAGTAGTATTACATTGCACAAACACATCAGAGTTGGCTTATCCATCCTCCTATTGATAGACACCTGGGCTGTTTGCAGGTTTTGGTTACTGTGAGTAAAAAAAATTGCTATAAAAATCTTGTCTTTGTCTTTTTGTGGACAATTAACTACTTTTCTCTGTATTAGGCATATCAGCCATTGTCTATCATGTGTTCAAATTTTTTTCTAAATTTGTCATTTATCTTTTGACTTCCATGGTGCATTCTGTATGAAAGTTTTTAAATTTTATGTGGGCAATTTTATCAGTCTTTTCTTATGGCTTCTGGGTTTCATGTCATGATTGGAGAAACTTGATCTATCTTGATATTCTAAAAATATCCACCTTTTTTTAGTGCTTTTATGGTTTGTTTGTTTGTTTGTTTGTTTGTTTGTTTTCTATTCTAATCTTTGAATCGTCTGAATTTAGCTTGATGCTAGGAGTGAGGTAGAGGATCCACATTTATTGTTCAAATGGCAAGTCAGTTTTTCCAACACCAGGTATTGAGTCTCCCTCACTGATTTGAAATGTCACCTTTCTCATTGTCTCAATTCCCATGCATATTTCTATTTTCTTTTCATTGACTCCTCTGGTTTTTCCTGTCAGGGCCATATTGTTTTAAATACAGTAGCTTCATGATACACTTTAATACCTGGTAGTGCTAAGAGCCCTTTTTTGATTTTTCTTTTTTTATAAATTCCCTGGCTATTTTTGTTTTGTTGTCCTGCCAGATGGACCATCTTGAATCATTTTGTCATGTTCCAGAAAATAATCCTGCTGGGGTTTTTATTGTTATCGTAGAGATTTTACAGATTAATTTGAAGGAGATATCTCATCTTTCCAGAATACAGAAGGGATGAGAGAAAGACAAATATCCAGGTTCTGGTCTTGGAGACCAAGTGGATTTGGGGCCTTAAAAGTGGGGCAGTGGGGTGTGATGCCTGCCTGCCACTGAGCAAGAGAACACTCAAGCTTGGAGGAAAGACGAGTTCAGTTTAGACCTCCTAAATTGGAGATGTTCATGGGAAGTATGCAGAGAGAAGCCTTGGATGTAGAGGCCTTCCTTACAGGCCTCCCTCATTCATTCTAAAGTCCATCCTCCACACAACTACCAGAGTGACCCAAAGCTTCCCTTGTGGAATCAAGACAGCCTGCAGGACCCTGTGTACTCTGGCCCTGCTCACCTCTGCACTCTCTCTCCTGCCTCCCCTTCTCTTGTACACTAGACCCATCCACCTGCCTCTTTTCCATTCCCCCTAGCATTTGTATTTGCTGTTTCCTCTGCCTGGAACATCCTTGAGCACACACTAGAGAAGGCAACAGTATGTGCTTCTTCAGAACCCCATTTCCACTTCCATATCCCCTGACTTCTTATGCTGAAGGTCAAGTGAGATACTACCTTATCCATAGTCCTTTGCCCTGAGACCTCCAGGGACCTGAGCCTGCTCTAATGGAAGAAGGACTCCCTGGGATCTCACTTACCTCCTTGGTGACTTCTGGTATTTTCCTTGGGATTGGACTCAAAGTTGGGGCTGGGGTAATGGGATAGAGTATGGAGAGACCACTTCTCCATAATGATTGTGCTTCTTTCTCCACCCTCAATGGAGAGGCCTTCAGGGATCTCCTTGCAAGCTCCTGAGGAGCCACTGGCAGCTGAGTGCCTTCTTCTTCAGGGCCCTTTCAGGGAAGGACTTTGAGAGGCTGGGGGAGCTTATGAGGGATTCCAGTTAAGCCTTCTGTCTGAAGTAGAATGAGGGTGAATCCTTTTCACTGGGGGCATCTAGCAGCCTCGAAGATCTTGTACTCTTTTTTCAAGGGTCATAGAGGGCTTCAGCCCAGTGTGCAACCCAGTCCAGCAACATTCCCATGGGGACTGAAATTTAGGACTCTGTCCAGATGCACCATGTTCTTCTTGACCAGGCTGAGATGCTGAGATACAGGCACGTGGACCCATTTGTCTGCCAGGGGAAGAAACTGGAAGATAAGAGGAAGATAAAGAAGGCCTAGTTGAGTGAGAGGAAGTAATGGAAAGAGCAGGAGAGAAAGGTCTCAGAGCAGGAGAGAGGGCCAGGTTGTAGGCCAGAGGGGAAGAAGGGTTCCAGGAGCTAAGGACAGCACTTTTTTGGAAGGAAGGAGAGTCCAGTGCTGCTGAAGGGGCAAGTCTACTGAGTACTGAAAACTTTCCATGGGATTTATGGCCAGGAGGAATTTTGTAGTTTGACCAGCTTACTTGGGGAGAAAGAGAGGGGACTGGAGGAGCCAGATAACTCTAGGTTGTGTGGTGAGTGGGAGGGGAAGGTGGCAGGGAGCTAGACTTCTAGCTGGATGGGCTGCGGTGTTGAGTGGTTTTTTAACATGGCTTAGTTGAAAGTTCCAGGGAAGAATCCAACAGAGAGAGGTTGTTGGTACAATGGCAGAAAGGTAGGAGTTGATATCTCCTACAAGAAGCAACTTGGGATAACCATAGTGGGAATGAAGATGGGAAAGGACTGCTGGGGAACAGGCTGAAGCCATGTGGCAAAAAGAGCTGTCTACACTGCTGTCCACACCATCTCAACCTTTAGGTTATATCATGATTGCAGGGGGAAGTGAACCCTCTGGGAATGGAAGCTGGAACCAGCCTAGTGGGCCAAGCTCAGCTTTTATTTTGGGGCTCTGAGGACCAGCAGAGCGGGGATAGCAGTGACCCCAAATCCCTCTGGCAGGCTGAGGAAGCCCCACTAGGAAAGCTAGGATGGGGGATCTATAGGTCATGGCTACAGTAGCCCCTAAATGGCCTGCTGTGAGCAGTAGTCACTGGGCAGTTGGGTCCAACACAGAGACAAGGAAGGACACTTGGCTCAACTCTTCCTGCTCCTGGGCCTACTGGAGAGAGGGGACAAGAGAGGTGGACCCAAGTGCTTCAGTGTGGCCCTGAGGGGAATCCAGGGCCTGCCTATTACCTGACACCACTGGGGCACTTGAGCCATAATGCAGATGGCTCCTGGGTTGTGCTGCCTTCGAGGGGCAGGGAGAGCAGAGGCAGAGACCAAGACAGAGTGATGAGTGAAGCTGAGGGACAGCTGTAGGACACATTCATTACCCAGACCTACGAAACATGCTGTGCAGGAAGCAGGAGAGGCCTGTGTGAACAGGTGGGCAGAGCCAGTGCTTTTGGGCAATGACTGTTTCCATGATCCCTCTGGCCCGTGGGCTGGGGAGGCCTGCTTTCACCACTGTTGATATTTGCCCTGAGTCACAGTCATTGAGCGGCGGGTGTGGGCATCTTCCTAGAGCATTTTAGGCTCTGCTGGACAGAACAGGCCTGTCTCGGTGTACAGGTCTCTCCCAGTGTGCCATTATGTCGGACCTTTTTTAAAGTGTTTTTTGTTGTTGTTTTAAATCCTCACCTGAGGATATTTTTTCCATTGCTTTTCAGAGAAAGTGGAAGGGAGAGAGAGAAACATCGATGTGAGAGGGATATATCAATTGGCTGCCTCCCGCACACACCCCTGACTGGGGCCAGGGATCAAGCCTGCAACCGAGGCACTTGCCCTTGGCCCGAATCGAACCCAGGACCCTTCAGTCCACGGGCCGACGCTCTAACCACTGAGCCAAATAGGCTAGGGCATGTTGGAACATTTTGTACCTTGAGGATGAAGTATAAAAACTCTCCCAGCCAATTAGGGGAATAAATGTGATGTATTCCATTGTTACTACATCTGATCCCAACTGGAGCTTCAGCTGTGCTTTTATAGGACATGGGGAAGTGGTGATCCAGCTAGCTTCCTCACTACCTTTGGGGAGATGCGGTTCCACCTGCAACCCCTGTCACCTGTGCCTCACCTCCTGAACGCCCCTGGGAGACACACAGTTTCCAGCCATCTTATTAGGGTTCCCTGGAAATGAGGCCCAACCATAAGCCAAATTCAGATGAAGATCTGTGGAAGCCACTTTCTTGCTCTGAGGAGTGGCCCTACTGTGGGGTGACAGGAGTCCCTGTTGTTTTTGTGTAGTTTAAATAGGAAACAACAGGCAGCCAACCCACTTGCTGCAAATTCTGGGGGGCAGGAAGGGGTGGGCTAAAGGGGACTGGGTGGAGCTTGGCAAGGTTTGGACAGTCAGGTAAACTGGAGTAAAGACTCTCCTTCTGCTGTGGTCTTGAATGTAAAGCTAAGCAGTGGGGACCCCTGCACCCTTGTGGCCTCACACTCCAGCCTACTGAGCTCTTCCTGTTCTAGCATTCATGATGATAAGGGCTTTGGGGAATGGGAGGCGGGATATCCCTCCTTGCCCCCCCCCTCATTGCAGGGGTGCTCAGCTGCCCAGTGACTTCACCAGGACCCTGTTGATTGTCTTTGAGAAGTGAAGAAACCTCATTCTCCTGTGCAGCAGATATACCACCTGCCTCAGGGTACACCTCCTCATCTCCAGCTGCTCTATATGGATGTGTTTTACATGGGAGGAGTTGACACTTTATTAAGGTGTTACCCTCTCAACTGAAAGAAGATGGTGGTGCAGAGTTTAGATTCTCAGTGCAAGCCTCTCCTTGCCCCCCAGTGAAGTTAACTTAGTGGCCTTCCATTCTGTTTCCTCCTCTATGAAATGAGGGGCTGAGACACCAAATGACAAGTCTCTACGCTGTGATGTGAAAAGATCCCAGCTTGCCTACATAAACTTCTCACCCCACTCCCCTCCCTGCAACATCTTTCCGATGTTCTGGGCATCAGTAGCCTCTGAAAAAGCCAAAGGAAGGCACTGGCTGGCTTCATTGACCTGGATTTGCAGGTACTGAATGATCCCTTGAAAAATGAAAACGGAGGCACTTTTCTCCTGGCTGTTTATTACAGAAGGAAGAAAAAAAATGTTCTGGTTTGAAAGAGATGCCAGATTTAAAACGAAGAGATGAAATACGAGGTGGCAATTAAAATGTGATTACATAGAGTCTGAACATTGAGAAAAGTTTACAGGACAGAGGATGTGGGTTTTCTGTAACAGACACTGAAATATACATGGTGATAACTGCAGATTGAAACCATCAAAGACAAACCAAAAATCAAGGATTAATGTTTATAGACTGCCCCCCACCACAAAGCCTTACATCAAAACAAGTACTGAAAGGCTTTAAACCAGGAACATCTCACCTTCACCCTGCAAGGGTGCCTCTGTAGAGGTGCAAAGCTGAGGTTCTCTTGTCTGAATGATAGAGAGGCACTCTAGATCCTCAAGGTTGACAGCTCAGAGAGTGTTCAACTCATATTCTCTCTTCACCTTTCTCAAATCTATAGAACCCTCTCAGCCTCCTAGCAAATTTCCTCTGTGGAGCACTTACAATAAAAGCAGCTTCTGCTGTAATGTGCTTATCAGGAAAGAGCTAACAGAGACTGACAGGTTTGCAAAAGGGATCAAGAATTACACCAAGTGATCAAATTTTCAGTGAAAATGGCAATAAATGGCCAAGTGGTTTTCTAGTTTTCTATGTGGCATTTGTCAGCTTGTACAACACCTCTTGGTCACATCCACATATCCTATTGCATCAGAACCATAAGCGACTCAGACATCTGGCTTATTTGATATCACTGTAGTGAACAACACAGCATGCATGTATAATAAACACAGACAATACAAAATCAACACAACTGTACTGAAACGAAAGTTGTCACTTTATTTACAAAGTCACAGAAGGAAGTATAAATACTTCTGTCATTAATGTTTAGGAAAACCATTTACAAAATTTTCAAATATATACAGGTATTTTGAAAAATCACCAGCCTTCCATTTTGTTGCAGGTAGAGAGAGGGATGGGCATGGACTGATGCCACTCAGATTGTAACAAGGAAACACTTGTGTGGCTGTCTGGGGCAGGTTGTGAATTTGCTATGGATTCACACCACTCCCTAAAGTGATATCAATGTTGGGGATGCTATCCTGGCTATTCTGGGTGACTTGGCCAGCAGTCTGGGCTGTGACATTTTGAGCAGCAGCATGCTGCTCTTCCAGAATGTCATCGATCAGCCTCAGGTTACACACCCAGTCTTCATCTGGGCTCATGCTGGAGCCTTTCAAGAGAGTTTCAATGAAATCTACCTCACTGCAGTCAGGTGGTGAAATCAGATCATTTAGTGGGGGCTGGGGCTGGGGCAAAAAGTCATAGGGTGGCAGCTCAGTAGGGGGATCCATTCTGTTGAATGGACCTGGGGACTGGCTAGCAGTGATGGCAAAGGTGGCAGCGGCAGCGGCAGCAGCAGCAGCCACATAGCTTGGCGGTGGCTCGATGCCCTGTATGGGACTCATGGGGCCAAAGCTGGCTATGCCCTGCTGGAGGGACTTGGAGGAATTCAGCACAGGCACAGGACCCCGCACTGGGCTCTGTCTGAGGCCAAAGCTGGGGTTGGTCAAGGCAGCATTCACCTTCTGGCCAGGCCTGTCTCCTTGGGTCCCCTGATTGGGAGGCATGACTGCTTGCTGTGATGGACAGGATGGGGTTACCAGGGAGACTCTCACAGGTGCCTTTGTGAACATAGAGTTGCTATTAAATTGCTGCTGGATGCTATTACCTATTTGGCTCCGTGGTGGTGCCCTTGAGACTGCTGGGGTTGTAGTTGCTGATGCCACCCATGTGGCATTGTTGAACATGGTGGACATTCTTGGCACACAAGGCTGTCTGAGCTGGTGGGGACTCAAGGGTTGGCTTCCCAGAGGTCTGGGACAGAACCCTGGCAGTAGCACTCGTGAGGGGGAGGCCTTGGGCATCTCTGTATGTTGGCAGATTGAACCAAGGCTGCCTAGGGGGTTCTGGCCTGAGCGTGAGGGTATGGGAAGTAGGGAGCCGGAGTTGAAAATTCCTTGCTTTTTGCCTGGGGTCGGTGAGATCATGCCCTCATGGGAGAAAATCATGCCCTCATGGCTTTGGTGATGGCTGGGTGAGATCATTCCTGGACTCAGATTGTTCTGAAGGAGCTCAGATCTGGGTAGCATTATGTGCTGGCTGGAAGGGGGGCTTTCCTTGGTCTGGCTAGACTTGGAGGTGACTTGTTCTTGGATGGCTACAGGAAGAGAGAAGGCAGGGTCAATTCCAAAGGCATCCTTAATTTTGGTTGCAGTTGCTGATGGGGAGTGCCAGCTTAGCACCAATTTCTCCCCTTCTACCCTTGGCTCCTACTGAGCATCCCCTGTTCCCCAACTCTTCTCCCCCTTGTTCTTCTACCCTCAGCCCGGACTTCAGTCCTTCTAGGGAGCCCTCTTAGACTCCTGGGTTTGTGCTCACACACCCCTACCCCCCCATCAAGTACAGATAATGTTGGAAGAAAAATGTCAGCTTATCTGTCTGTTTTTTCAAGTAGATTGTATGCTCCATAAGGCCAGGGACTCAGTCTGCTTTTATACTCAGTCCTCTGTATGCAGGCCTGGCATTGCTGATCCCTTGACAGATGGAATGGCCTTCCTGGAACTTGTCTTCCTTGTCTCTACAGCTGAAGTGTGCCTGACCTGGGTAGGTGGGATATTCAGCTGGTGTTAGGCCCAAAGGAACAAGGGTTTTTGCACAAGAATGGAGGAGCAATAGCATGATGATGGCATTGGCTAAAATAAAGATGCTGGCCACCTGTTGGAGGGCAAGCAGCCTTTGCTGAGCTCCAGGTGAGAGCACCCTTGGTCTTGCATAATGCCACTACTGGCTAGTAAGGATTGCTTACCGCATGTCTCCCCAACTAGTCTGGAAGCCCCAAGAAATAGGAACCATTACCTGTTTTATTTTTTCAAACAGCTGTATCCCCGACTGATAAGTTGATCACATTCATAGATGTCATGGTAAGGCAGGGACCTCTGCTATCTGTGGAGGCTCTGGGAGCCCCCCACCACAGACTCTTTGAGACACAGCTTCAACCCCCTTTCCATTGCCTACACCTGAGAGATGGTCCAGGATCCCGTTAGAATAGAAGGTCATTGAGGTGGGGGAAAGAAGGGCAGGATCAGAATCCTGGGGTTGTGACAGCCCTCAATTGATTCTGATAAAACCCTAGGGGGTGTGCCCTTCTCCCATTGAGAATAACTGCTTTATGGTGCCTGATTTAATCAAACTCTTGAATTAAATATTGATATCAGTCATTAAGATCTGACCTTCAATTGGGATCCTACTTAAGTTTCCAGTGTGAGAGGCCCAACCAAGGTGCTGCTTTCAGAAACACCCACAGTAACTCCTTACTCTGGGGTGAATTCGCACCCCACCCTCACATACCACACCCCCATAGCTTGTCCCTTTGGGAAGATTGATCTTAACTGCTTACCTTGAAATTGATTCATCTGTTGAGTGATATACGCACTCTGCTGTTCAGGGGTCATTGCCATAAGACCTGATCTCTGTTTCTCTTGCTAAACAGAAGATGAAAATGAAGTGTTAGAATACGGCTACCAAGAAATATTTGCCTTGGGATCACTGTGTGGGGACTCAAGACTTGGCTTTGGTGTAGCAGAAAGCATGAGTAAACATGCCAACACACACTTGCATGCATGCCCCACCCTCCCAAGCAAAACTCCACAGGTATACATAAAAGTAGGATTCTGCAACCTGGATTAAAAAACCAACTGTGACAGTATAGGATGGGGCTGGAGATACAGAGCTTAATAGCAAGAGCACATTGAAAAAGATTTAGGCATTCTGGATATCCTGTTCAGGATGGGTCAGCAGTGAGATATGGTCACCAAAAGAGCAAATGTAACATTAGGTCACATTAATAGAAGCAGAGTATGTAGGAGGGAGGTGACAGTCCTACACTACTCTGTCTTGGCCAGACCATGTCTATAGTGCTGACAAAAGTCTGGGCATGCCAGTATGAGAGAGACCCAGGCAAACTGGCTGTATTCAGAGGACTCTAAGTGATTGGGGTAGGGCTTGGATTCCAAACCACACAGACAAGAAATGGCTGTGCAAACCAGGGACTTTGGGGCTATGTGGTAGTGAGTACCCAGCTTCTGCTGGGCTGTTATGAGGAAAGGGCCAAGGATTGTTCTGGGTGGTCCTGGCATGAACAACAGGATGATCATATGGTCAGATGGATGCACTGTCAAACACCCAGAGTATTGGCTGCAGCATGGACAATTGGGGTGAGCTTCCTGTCTCCATTTCCAAGCTGAGTGGACAAGAGGAGTCAAGCTTCAGGGCTGCAGTCCCAGCACAGAGTGTGGGAGAAACTCAAGGAGACAGTTCCTAGAGAACCAGATGAGGGCACGTGGAAGGCATGACTTGTCCCTTGCACAGAGACTCTCAGCAATTCGGTGCCAGGCTGTGACTGGGATCCAGTTCTGACTCCCAGTCCAGTGTTTATCCACTGCCATCCCTTCCCCCTTCTCAAGAAGCCTGCTCACAAGTGTGCTGACAACCAAGGCAGCTCCACCAGGGAGCACACCCCTCTGAATCCACTTTCTGAGCTCCATCCCCCTAGATGCCAGAAGACTTGACCCTACCACATGGGATGGCCTGCTTTTCTGCACTTAGAGGGCTGATGTTGGGGCATGGGATGGGGGCAGGAAGAAGGTTGGCACTTGAGACAGTGCCCGGCTCCCAGGCCTGGAGGCAGTTCCTGACTTCAGTTCCTGCCAAGGAGAGAGGACGAACACATGGCACTGGGCAGACTACACTAGAATCTATTTCACCATCTTGGCCTTAGTCTACCTTCTGTTCAAGCTCTTGCCCCCCTCCCTGAGGCTGTTGGGATGTGGGCAGTGGAGGTTCTGTTTCTCAGCCAGCCCATGGAGCTGCCCTCTTCTTGCTAAAGCATGGAGAGGACAGTCATGCTTTTATGCATGCTCACTGTACTGAGCACTTTGCATCCATTACTTTACCTTATGTTGCAACAACCCTTTAAAGTAGGCATGCTATTATCCCAGTGATACTGATTTGGACACTGAGGAGTACAGGGGCCATATGACCTCCCAAGGCCACGCCATCAGGAAGGGGGGTGGGAGCATTAGGATCTGTCTGAGATGCGGCTCAGGATAAGCAGGCATTTCTATGGCAGCCCTTTCACTTGTGCTCTTCCCTTCTACCCTTACACCAGCCTTAGGAGATAAAGGCAGAAGATCTATGGACCCAGCTTACTCACATGATATCTTAGGCTCAGACAGAAAGGTTACATGACCTGCCCAATGCAACATGGCTAGGAAGTGCTATGCCTCTTAACTGCAGACACAGTGCCTCTGCCTGTCCAGCCTGCTGCTTCTGGGGACTGGCTCCTGTGGCTGGCTAAGTCTACACTGACCCCAACTCTTTCTCCATTGGCTCCTCCGTTAGTTTCATCAAATAACACAGTTGTATGGGGGTGGGGGCTGGAGCTGGGGGCTGGTGGAAGCTACAGAGTGTAACCAAAGAAAAAGCAGGGGAAGGACAGAAGAGCCTCAAAGGAAAGAGGCAGAGAGGAAAGACACCTCAAAGGCATGGGAAACCAAAGTCAGAGGGCAGAGGAACTGGGTAGTGTCTGACAGATAAAAGAGTGCTTCTCAAATAGTTCAGGGTTACAGGGGGAAGATGAGTGTTGGCTAGTATTCATCTAAGGAAGCACAAAGCCCACAGCATCCAGAGTTGAAGGGGAAACCTTGGCTAGTGGCATGGTTAGATACACACCCAAGTCCAAAGCACACACTTGACATCCAGCCTGTGGGCCACGCCCTCTAGGGTACTACAGCACTGCTGTCAAGCGGGGTCTCTTAATACCTCTGGAGTCATCCAGGGCACTCCCAGCCCTGTGTTCTGGGCCTGTTGTCCCTGGTCCAGCAGCCAGGGCATTCTCTCCAAGCCTCCCTAAGAGACTGCTTCATTTGTTTTGCAGATGGAGGCCTCCATACTTTGTTCTGAATCAATGTGCTTCAAAGATAAGCCCCAAGAAAACAGTTGTTGCTTTTTGACACTGACAATTAGAATCTTTGGAAAATGGAGAAAACAGGAAATGACAACTGTTTTTGGTGCCTAGGAGGAAGGGGTGGCTGAAAATTACTGCTTAGGACACTTATGGAGGATGTCCTAGGCAACCTGTGGATTTTCATAAGCATGCTTATTGGAGGAGGTCATCAAATCACTCATTTTTCAAAGGCTGTAATTGTCATGGTACTGGGTCCTATTGTGCTGACAGGGCAGCACATTGACAGGGCAGTGTTGGTGGGTCCTTTTCAAGCCTACACGTGCTTCCCCCATGCTAGTCACATGGGTGAGCTTGGGTTGGTGCCAGCAGGAAGTCTCTCAGAGAACTAGGGCCAGGGATCTTCTGTCATAGCTCCTCCCAGTCCTGCTGGGCCAAGAGACCACATTTCAGCCAGAATGGCAACCTGGGAAATCATAGAGTTGTTTTTCTGGAAGCTTCTTTCTGATGCTCAGGAAGCTGCAAAACCATGGTCCATATGTGGGGGCTTTGGCAGGGCTAGTGCTTCATCTGTGTGCTAGTCAAGAGAGATTTCAAAAGGCTGGCCCAAACCTCACTGCTATCCCCTGGCACAGTTGAGTCCAACACAGCCCCAGTCCTCCCCCTGCCCCCGCCAGCTGCAGACCAGGACAGGTGCTCTGTCAGCTTTGCTTTTCAGTCATCACAGGTGAATGGTTCCTGAAAGTCCCATGGAATCACCATGGATGCTTCTCACCACTGCAGGGGATGTTCTCAAGACTGATTCAACCAATTAATCAAGCAAAGGGGGATGGGGGATGAAATGGGGCAGCTGATCAGCAGGACTCACACACAGATGCCCACAAAAGATTTCTGGATTTCAGCAGGCTTTAGACTGAAGTTACTGGCCTGGTGATCCCCAGGAGAAGAGCATTATGACTGGGAAGTGGATTACAATGGAATAGCTTCTGGGGGACGCCAAGGAATGGATTCAAAGCCTTATTATGTACAGCACATTGATTCAGGGAAGGAGGGAAAGAGAGAGGGAGGAGGGAAGGAAAAAAGAGGGGAGGGGGGAAGAAGAGAGGGAGGGGAAAGAGAGAAAAATGAGAGGGAAAGGGGAAAAACAAGAGGACAGGATGGGGAGAGAGGGAGAGAATAAGGAGAAGTAGAAGGAGGAGGAGGAAGAGTAAGAGGGAGTGGAGGAGGGGGGGGAAAGGAGGAAGAGAAGGAGAGATTTTTTTCTACCACTAGGAAACTCCAGTCTCCTTTCCCAGGAAATACAGCCCATGAGTGCTCCCACACTGAGCTACCCTGCCCTACAGCAGAAAGCACTTAGCTATGTATTAGAGGTTCAAAGGTTAATGAGCTCTGGTGTCTGGGTTTGTTTGTTTATTATTCCACTAGGAAAACACCGTTTGTAGTTTTGAAAATCAGATTTGGAGACATCTCACCCACTCTTCTGACTTTCCTTTAAAATGACAAGAAGACAGTATTCTGCATGGAGATTATGAAATCAAGACCTGATTTCTGGGGGCTCCTACACCCATATGGATGGGGACACCTCAGACTTGCCATGGCCCATGGATGAAGGCAATGTAGACACTTCCATCAGAAGCCCTGTTTGAGGGGTGTGGATGCTTTTAAACTAAGATTATCCTCAGGTGTTCTGCAGAAACTACAGAGGCTTTCTATAGTGAATGACAGGTAAGGTTCATTTCCTAGTCCCTCCTGTCTCTTAGAGTCTGTGACTTGGTTTCTCCAGAATGCTTTCAGAGGAGGCCACACCATCAGGAGTGATGGGTGTGCCACCAGGCCACTTCTCCCTGTGAACCTGAGGCCAAGATTTTGGATGGGGGGAGTCTGCCGAACACCTGCCCTTTTGTATTGCCTTGATCAATGACTTTCCCTGCCCAAATGCAGCCTGCAAGGTGTGGGCCTCATTGACTCTGGTCCCCCAGAATGAACCTGCCCAAATATGGAATAGGAAGAGAGGGATTCCTTGGCAGCCTACCATGTTCGTCAGTCAGCTGACAAACATTTCTTGTGGGTTTACTTTGGGCCAGGCTCTTTTCCAGGCATGGAGACAGCACTGTGCTTCTCTACTTTTATGGAGTTTACAGTGGAGGGGAGATTGACAAGACACATGTAAGTCAACCAAAGGTCATTTCAGATGGTTATACATCTTCTAAAGAAAATACGATGTGTGAAGGGATCAGGAGTGGACTGGAGTGTGGGGAGGACACCAGAAACCTCAGGTCAGGGCTTGGGTCCCTGAAGGTAAATCAGAACTTGCCACAAGGTTCTCTAAGCTAGGCAAAACTGAGGTCAGTACTAGCTTGCTGGTGTCTTTCTTTGCCCCTCTGGGCTCCTTGTACAAGAGCCAGGGACCTTTCCCATGGTGACCTTGGGGTTTGAACCAGTCTGAAGCTGTCAATGGGGCCTTCATGAAAGCAATGGCATCAAAAGCAAATGGCAGAGAGCTGTAGGTCAGCTGTTTTA